CCCCCCCCCCGGGCGCCGCACCCAGGGGGGTGCCGCCTGCCGCGGCTCGGCATCACCGGTTCTCTGCGGGGAGCGGTGGCTGACAGCTTCCCTCCAGAGTCGGTCCTGCTTAATCCTCAGGGACCAGAAACAGCTTTAAGCCGGGCTTGGCGTGAAGGCTCTGTGGAACTTCGAGCAGGGATCTCCTCACGCCTCCAAGCCCGGATCCTGCCAGCTGCCCCGGAACAGCCCCGGGTCCCCAGCGTGCGTCGGGCCTGGCTTCTACCCCAGGGCCCTCCACCGCCCTCCAGCCGCTTATCGCCTCAACCCGGCTGGAGAGGCTCTGCCCGGAGTCACCGGGACGCTCCCCTTGGCCTCCTAATTGCCCTGCTATTAAATCGTGCCACTTCAGCAAGAAACGCCGTGGCGAGTCACCCTTTCCCAGTGACCCAGGCCAAAAGCATCTGTAGAGTCACCGGAGCGGCCCTGCACGCCCTGCGTCTTGCTGCAGCCTCCCTCGGGGCTCGCGGGGAGCCGAGGGCAGCGCTGGGCTGACTCAGCCTCAGCCCTGGGGATGGCGGGGGAAAGCTGGGACAGGGACAGGGAAGGGCCCTTTGAAGAGGGGTAGATGGAGAAAGTAATGAGGATGACAAGGAACGGCGTCGGGCTGCGCACCGCGGGGAGGGACGTGGCCCGCGGGCCACCAACTGGAGCCAGCACCGCACCGTGCCTGGGCGTCAGTCCCCTCCCAGCACCCGGGGTCCCGGCGGGTCCTTCGTCCCCGGTACCTCGCCTGTCCGCCCGGCTGCGCATCCGCACTCCCCCTCCGAAGAAGAGATCGAAGATGTCCATGGGGGAGCCGAATCCGCTGCTTCCTCCTCGGCTCCCCAGGCCGCCCTCCTTCATGGCCCGCTCCCCGCCGCGGTCGTAGAGCGCCCGTTTGTGGGCGTCCGACAGCACCTCGTAGGCTTGGGAGATCTGCTTGAACTGGGGAAGGGGGGAAAAACGGGGTGAGACGAGGGGGGAAGCGAGGCGGGGGGGGGGCG